TCTTTACGACTCACGAAGACCGAAGAAAATACTAAATAAATACTAGTTTGGTAGTGTGTCTGTGTGCTATCAAAAAACAGTGTCTCCGACATTATTCACAATACATTTTTGCTGTAAAATATTATGTACGCGTTTTGGTTCTGAAGTTTCGCTTCGGTTATATTAGCCTCTCTCCTATACAGTTTTCAGTCTAAGGGAATGTTAGTTGGTAAGTCTCATCGTTGCCTTACAAAATATATTGTTCGCATACTTACTATTGAACGTTTTATTACTCGTAAAATTTTGTCATAAAAAAATAAGGAAAACGTTTTTTTTTTCTATTAAGAAATTCTAGAAAGTGTTTCGCTCTTACACGTTCATTTGAAGCAAGACATTTTTGGCCTAAACGTATATTGGCCTAATAATAAACTTGAGAGAAAACACTTTGGAATTAATTAAGTCACTTGTCGCCTGTCAAAGGCAATGTATCTACATGATTACCAGAAGACCACAGTTATTTGTGCGCGATCGTCATTTTAATTTTTCTCATAAACTAAAGCCTTCGTCAAACAGAACGCGTAATTAGCGCGCGTCAGAGCGCTAAACTGACGCCGAAATGTGTTGTACTAGTATGGTAACATACCGTCAAACAGAGACCCAGCGCTATAAGTACGCAGCGCTCTGACGCGGCGTTAGGACGCTTTGACGTCAGGCGTTGCAATTTTTTTCAAATTTTATTTTAGCGTCAGAGTGAATGTGTATTAAAATACTAGATAATGCCCGAAAAAATGATATAAATAGTTAGAAAATACCCATGCTTATACAATGCCACATCTGAATCACTCGATTTCTTAATACTTTTAAATGTTCACACTGCTATCGAAAGGCCCTATGATTTGGCGAATGCGTTGCGTCAAGGAGCGTTAGACTCATCTAGTCAATTGGTGTGACATGAAAAGAGCGCGACGTTAAGTACGCGGCGCTAAGTACGCGTTCTGTTTGACGAAGGCTTAAAGGAAATGTCTAAGCTAAAATCTGACGTAAGTTTCTTCGATGATAATACGAACAGCTAAATAGTGTTTACACGATTGCATATTTTTAATTGAACGTTTTAAGCGAACGCTAATGTATAGCTCCGCTGTAAGCGCTTCAGTTTGAGCTTTTTAAAATGCAATGCTAATCGGGACGGATGATAATTTGAACCCTTTGACTACTATGTAGATCATTGGTGCTCTACGCGGCGCAATGCAGTAATTGTATCGATTTCTGTTATTAAGCGCCTGGATTGCCTAACTTTGCCTTCTTTTGTTTGTCTTTTAGGTCACTTAGAAATAGATTCGTCTCTCCTAGAGTTTACTAGATTTTTTTTTGTCGTATAGGCAGACGAGCATACGGCCCACCTGAGCCACGTCAGCAATGCCAGGAGCAGAGCCAAGCCGCTGCCTACCGTTTAATACTCTACACAAGAATTCTTTGAAGAAGGACATGTCATAGCGCTCGGGAAACACCGTGGAGGGGCGCCTTAGTAATAGAAATTGATGTGATTACTTCAATGCGCCACGTAGGGTACCGTTGACCTACATAGCAGTCAAAGAGTTAATTGAAACAAATCAATTATTGTATACAATTTATACAGAAACAACAGAGCTGTTTTGTTCAACGCGCAATTACTTAAGACTATATTATGGTTTTCAAATACTATCGAAACTATCGTATTACGATGTTAACTCGATTATTTTATATCGATAAATCGTTCGTCATAATAAAAATCATTTCTCTTAATTGTAAATTATAAAAAAAATCGATACGATATCGAAAAGTTTGGTCGATAAATTCAACAAGAGATTTAAATTATTTTTCGTTTTTTTTTCATGCAAGAGCTGCCCCGCATATGTCGATATTTTTCATTTATTTATTCGAATAAGAAAAGTGGCACTTAGATATATATAATAATAGTAATGTAAACTGCATTTGATACAGTAAAAGCGTCTCACTTAAAGCTATATTTTGATATAATATGTGTATTTGTAATACTTTTCGTTATTATTCGTATTAATTTTATTGTTCTTGTGCAATGCTTTTCGAGATATTAAGAAGCCCTTTGTTTTGATTGGCGTGTATTTACAGTTGAAGGGCTCGTTGACTAGACGGTTACCGTAGTTTTTCAGTTTGAACTTCCAATTTAGTCTAATTACGATCGTGTTCGTTGAAATATGATTTCATTCACTTAACTAGGTTTAGTCTTTTTTTAGTTCGCTTAGGAAACTTTCGTTTTTTTTTATTTTATTATTATTAATATTTTACGTGTCATTTTAAAGCTGCTGTAACTATGTATTAAAATATTTTGTTGACACAACACAGTTTCTTTTTTGTCGTAGAAGTAGATCAATTATGTTTTCAATTCAGACTTTTGTTCTAATATTTACAATTTCTTTATTCAGTTCGTTTGATGATTAGAAATCTTAGATTACTATTATCTCTACCTAAGAGGAAAAATTGGCATTAACAAAACGTGATTATAAAGATCTATTCAAATTAATTAATCGTCTATATCGGTTTCGTAATATCGATATTACAAAACGATAAAAAATAATCGACTAATAGACGCAGTCCGCACTCTATTCGATCACGTAACTGCATTACACGCAAGAGTTCGTTGAGAGATGTTGCCAGTAAACATATCATTCGGCCTTTCTCATTTGTTTTTTAAGAGCGATATTATTATTATTTTTTTACATTTTTTACACGTTCTTTCTTTCTTTCTTCAAGGTGGGGAAATATTTTCAGTGATCTTTATCTATTTATTAGAAATAACAAATTTATATATATATATATATGTATGTATATGTAATCGAATTTAAAAGTCTTTTTTTAATGTTTTTTTACGCTCAGCGTTTGCATTAAAATACCTAAAACTTATACACCATTACTTTAATTAAGAAAATAATTAAAATAAAGAAATTATTAGAAAAGATAATAAGTGACGAAAAACCCGAAAAACATGTAATCCACGAATAGATTATATAAAAATTTAGGAAGAATTAAAAGAAAATAAAAAATACGAGATTTTAAGTCATCGTAAATACGGACTACACATTTGCGAATAAGTTCCATATGGCAAAATCTAAATCAATTGGTTCAATTGAATAAGAAAATTTCGAAAAGGGCACATCTCTGAAAATGTAAAATGTTCAGGATATGAAAAAAACTGATTATTTTCTAAAGCAGTGTAAAATTTAAAATATTAACTCTTGAGATATATTGTAGTGTTAAATATCAATTAAAGAAAATTACTGGAATTATTATAAAACGGGTGTAGGTAAGCCTCAAAACTACATGTATATGAAAAAACGTATTTGACAAAATAAGNAAAAGGGCACATCTCTGAAAATGTAAAATGTTCAGGATATGAAAAAAACTGATTATTTTCTAAAGCAGTGTAAAATTTAAAATATTAACTCTTGAGATATATTGTAGTGTTAAATATCAATTAAAGAAAATTACTGGAATTATTATAAAACGGGTGTAGGTAAGCCTCAAAACTACATGTATATGAAAAAACGTATTTGACAAAATAAGCGACATGTGCCCTTTTCGAAATTGCATATTCAATTATATCTTCGTTGATATATTTTTATATATTTTTTTATATAGGCCCTTGATCATAGCAAGGGATTCCGTGACTACAGTGACATTAAAATCTGTGAGCCTCGAAAAAAATAAGTGATTCATAAACAACATTTTATATCCTATAACGCATTTCTACATACAAGCCGTGCGGCGACATTTAAATTATTTAAGGTGCATTAACATTTTCAATATAGAGATGTGATTTATTTATGAAACAAAAAAAATATTCAGGAACTTTCTTCATAAGAGTAAATTAGTGAGTTTTGTAAACTACTTTTTGCAACTCTATTTTTATATCGATATTTAATAACGATATTGCTTTTTTCCAAAGGTGAGCTTTTTATAAATCTTTCAACCCGCTCCTTAACTCGTGAAGGAATTATTAATAATTGTCGTGTGTACGTACGTAAAAAATATAAATGTATTTTGTTTTATGTGAAATTTAGGCCGTTATCGAGAAATTTATGATAAACATAATATTTAGTGTAATTTTAATATCGAAAAATTCCCAATCTCCATTACGATAATAACAATGAAACGACGACACCATTTTAAACGTCTAACTACGTAATAAAAAGTTTACTTATTACTAAAAGTTATAATAAAACTAATGTTTCGATCGAACGTTTTAGAAAATTTTTCTATGATATATATTTTTTTATCGAATGCTTTGTATCGATTGTCCGAATTCATCCGAATGAAACTGAGATTGTTGTTACATAATTAGAGGTGAGATTTTCTTTGAACATTCACCATGTTTCAGAGGTCGAAACAATTCACTCGAAAAATATACAATTATAAACGATACGCATAGTGTGCACTCAGACTTAACTTGGAAACTAAAGGTCTATTATAGGTTGTGTTATTATTTGAAATACCGACTTTTACCGCTTGCATGTATTATATATGATACCGTGTAGCCGTGTATTTTCGTCAAAATAAACTTTTATATTAAAATTGATTGCAATCAAGTCGCAATTCGTCAATACATGGGGGTCGAAAAAATTTAAGATCCAAATAGAAATTTTACGTCATAGCTGGCAACCCCAACTTACGAAGAACATTTTCACTGTTGTCTTTGATTGATACCTCGATGATACGTATCCATGTCAATTATTAATTCGCCCTAACAATAAAAAAAAATATATCGACGCTTGAAAGGCAAAAGTGATTAAGCGACATTAACTGCTTAGTACATAAATTATAGGCAATAACCATATTCGATGCGCAAAAAAAATATATTTCTAGGTCTATTAAAATCATTTCAATCCTACAGCTACTAGCTAGATTCTAGTACAGCTGGATTCGTTAAAATAAATTTTGTTTTCAGGCATTTGAACTTTAAATTAGTCTACTGTAAAGTTCACGCATTGTCGCTTAGTCACGTTGGCCTTTCAAGCGTCGATATGCTTTGCATATAAAAAAATTGCATATTATCTTATTTCTTTAAATTACAATTACTGCTATTTCCATGTCTTGCACTATTACTAGAATCTGTTTCAGAGACATAAAAACAAATTTACTCTTAATTCTTTTAGATTTTCGATTAGCAAAGTCAAAGAACACACTATAGTTCGTGTTTGTGTAAAAAAACGTTTCACGTCAGATATCTGTTTAAATGAACATTAGAACTGAATGTGGTCATACAAAAACGACACAGTGACAGTCGTCTACCTTCGATCCAAAACAGTAACAAATACATTATTTCCAAACAAGAAAAAACGATTAAAGCTAAAATCGGTAACCTTACAACGGTGATATTGGTAGCGGCCGCCATTTTTATCAAACCCTGTCAAATATTCTTTAAAGCTTCATAAAAAATGATAACTTTGTATTAATACTTTTTTTCGGTCAGTTTCTGACAGTCACAGACTAAGTTACTTTTATTATCAATACCATTCAATTATACTATTAACCACATTCAATTCTATTTCCAATATTTATTTTAAACATGAAATCAATTCAAATATTTGATTTGATCAAGATTACTTAAATTGACAATAAATCAATAATAACAAAAATATAAGTTTGAAGGTATCCAAGCAAAAACACTTAACTTTGGTCAACTCGATCCTTTCTGTACCTATAATTAAAAAAAAAAACATTTTTAAAGCCGGCAACTTAATGTGTTGCTAGAGTTACAACTCTACTATACGTATCGTACGTATATAACGATAATTTATTGTATTTTGGACATTCCTAAGGCCGCTTTCAGACTACGCTATAATAATAATATATAGCTCATATCGCGCACCATACATTGTTGTGGACACGTTCACACCGTACTGTACTATATATTATTGGCTAAGTGTAGGCTGTTATACTATATGACACTATAGTATAGCGTGGTCTGAAAGAAGCTTAAGTCCGGGGGAACTGACAGGACATGTTCGCGTACTTTTTGGCAGGAACGCGAGGAGTGAAGTTGTGTGATTTGTTTTATTTTGTCTATTTAGTGTTTCTTCAGGTTTTAATGTGTAATAACGGTGGTTTGTGCACTGTTTAATATCTGTGATAGTGCACAAATGTGGGAAAATGAAACAAAGCCGCTGAACGTAACTTCTCGGGATCCTCCAAAAAGTCCACTGAAAAAAAATCTCTGTAAATGACCACCATTTTACTGAGATTATATTTCATTCCATATCAACTCATCTTATTTCATTTCACCCCATATCATAATTTTTTATAAAAATAAGAATATAAATTAAAATAAGACATGACTTAAAGGTCTTAGTTACCAGGTCATAAAATCACTTAAAAAAAAACGTTCGCGGAAGGATACAGGCGGGCTGACGGTGAGTGGTTGTGTACAGCACTGACCTGCAGGCGGTGGGGCGCGCCAGCTCGCGGCGGATGTAGTCGAGGCGCTGCTTGGCGCGCGAGCGGGAGCGCAGCGCCGGGTGCAGCGCCCCCCACGGCGTCGGCCGCCACTTCAACTCCGGGATACGGGAGGCCTGAAGGTATACCGCGTGATCGTACGGGTACGTATTTTTCTATAAAATCTAATCTTCCCAAATAGTGAATCCAGTCTATTAGTTGGCGTCCTTCATCCTTAGTGAAAACGGTTTGAACTCCATAGTATTCTTCAGTGTACTTGTGATCTTTCTTGTTCCGAAGAGTTATTCTAGGAATCCGTTATCTCTTCGAGGTTTCATATTATACATTTATTTGATTCAATATTATTATTATTATTTTTATTGCTAAAATGGGTGGACGAGCTCACAGCCTACCTGGTGTTAAATGGTTACTGGAGCCCATAGACATCTACTACGTAAATGCGCCACCTAACTTGAGATATGAGTTCTAAGGTCTCAGTATAGTTACAACGGCTGCCCCATCCTTCAAACCGAAACGCATTACTTCTTCACGGTAGAAATAACTACTAACATAATTTAAGCTAAATGGTGGTACCTACTCGCGCGGACTCACAAGAGGTCCTACCACCAGTAAAAAAACGTTTTGTCACTTTTGTGTCAAACGAAACATGAACGTAATGTCACTACGAGGCTTTTTGTAAGACGGTTTTTTGGAACGAAGTTCCTTATGGGACGACGCGGTGGAGAATCGGAAAAAAAAACGTCCGTAACGTAAGATTTTTATTAGTAATGCACACAGTGTACGACTTAACTTTGTAATAACGTATAAATTAGTAATGCACAGAGTGTATGACTTAACTTTGTAATAACATACAAAAATAGTACATTGTGCACCAAGGGAGGAGGAATCTTTGGGCGATATGCGAATCTAACGACCCTCAGCTCCACAGTCCACCGAGTCACTAGTGGTAAGACGTCTTGTGAGTCTGCACGGGTAGATACCACCGCCCTGCCTATTTCTGCCATGAAGCAGTAATGTCTTTCGGTTTGAGGGCGGGACAAGCGTTGCACTATAAAAACTGAGAGTTATAACTCATGCCTTAAAGTGGGTGGCGGCATTTACGTTGTAGATGTCCGCGGGCTCCGTTAACCACTCAACACCAGGTGGGCCGTGAGTTTTTCAACACAATAAGTTAGCGAGTTAAAAAAATCTAAAGTCAACTATAATGAGTCTAGTACAATATAGACACTGTATAATAGTGTATGTCTAGTACAATATAGACACCCTGTATAATAGTGTATGTCTAGTACAATATAGACACCCTGTATAATAGTGTATGAACGTATATAGTGAGGCTAGCGACCTGCACTGCTCTGGGCGAGGTGATGTCGGCCACGTCGGCGAGCAGCACGCGCGGCGGGCCGGCGGCGGCGCGGCCCCGGCGCCGGTGCACCGCCGACACGTCCAGCTGCCGGAGCGACTTGCGAAGCCGCACGAAGCCGATGACGTCATACTGCCAGATCCAGTACCCTGCACCCAGCCAGACGGGACACACGTCATCATTCATTACCTCACGTGATAATCCGTCATATTTTTTTAGATGGGTGGACGAGCTCACAGCCCACCTGGTGTTAAGCGGTTACTGGAGCCCATAGACATCCACAACGTAAATGCGCCACCCACCTTGAGATATAAGTCCTAAGATCTCAGTATGGTTACAACGGCTGCCCCATCCTTCAAACCGAAACGCATTACTGCTTCACGGCAGAAATAGACAGGACGGTGGCACCTACCCGCGCGAACTCACAAGAGGTCCTACCACCAGTAATGTGTCATTAGTAAGACATTTGGTACCATACCAACTCATGCCTTCCAGTTGAGGGAGCAAGACGTCCGGTGCATTCGTGTTGAGCGATGCACCGGTGTTCGAATCCCAGGCGGCCAATTTTCTAATGAAATACGTACTCAACAAATGTTCACGATTGACTTCCACGGTGAAGAAATAACATCGTGTTATAAAAAATCCAACCCGCAAAATTATAATTTGCGTAATTACTGGTGGTAGGACTTCTTGTGAATCCGCGGGGGTAGGTACCACCACCCTGCCTACATCTGCCGTGAAGCAGTAATGCGTTTCGGTTTGAAGGGTGTGGCAGCAGTTGTAACTATACTTGAGACCTTGGAACTTATATCTCAAGGTGAGTGGCGCTTTTACGTTGTGGATGTCTATGGGCTCCAGTAACCACTTAACACCAGGTGGGCTGTGAGCTCGTCCACCCAACTAAGCAATGAAAATAAAAAAAGATACAAGTAAAAGCTTGGCCTCATAGCCACTGAACCTCAGATGGGCCATAAGACCATAACAGAGCTCCGGTTACTGGTACACAATATAATGTAAGCTGATTGTCGATTGCCATGCCATGACCCCCCGCTGCCATAACCGACCCCCCTTAGACCAAAGACCCATCAAACTTACCATGAATAACGAGTCTCTGCAATCGTTCACATTGCCAGCAGAGCAATACGAAAGGATTCACATTTATCGAGTCCTCCTGCAATTACAAAATAATAATAACTAGAGGTCCCGCAGTAGTCGAAATTCGACTATAATTGATTGGAATTGTAAGTTTGTACACCATTATGATTGTATTTTATACTTCTATAATTTGACCACAGACATCAAGAACAAAAGTTTGACAATTAATAGTATGCATGCGTGTGTGCGTCAAATACATTGTATGTAGTGTGTGTAATCTTTTCTTTATTGATTGAATGTATCTTTTATGCATTATTTAAAAAAAATTATTAGCATTGTGCACTTCTTCGCTATATTCTCTATAAGTGTGGAATTTCATACTCCTCCGTCCGCGCAATTTTCGTAAAATGGGATACAAAGTTTTTGTTTCACGTATTAATATATAGATTAAAAAGCAAAATTTCGCACACACTTACTAAAGACCTAACGCAAATGGACATAGGACCTTGACTGCTTTAGAGGCTAGACGCTTTTCTGTCAACCAGAATTCGCTGTATGGTTTTCTTTTAGTGGCTTGATGAAATAGGGCTCATGTCATCAGACTCATAAACCTCCTCCAAAGGGCGGTTGCATGCAGATTAAGGGCCGCAGTCTGCGTTTTACAATTATCATAGGAAGCTGCTGTCCATTCTCTGGGGAACCGTCAAGTCGTCTTTTGTGATACCAGGGAAGGATACGAGAAAGTGGTTTTTTTTTTGACACTGCGACGTATAATAAGAGTTATTTTATAGTTTTCATAGTATATATTATTACTAGCGAACCCGACAGACGTTGTTCTGCAAAAATTCATTCAAGTCGATCCAGCCGTTTAGTTGTAGTATAGATAAATAACCTAGATACCGAGTGCAGCGCCATCTGCCGGGCTGATTTGTGAATCTAAACAATCCAGGGTGCCACCCAAACGCACACAAAAAAAAATCATTCAAATCAGTCTCTGCACGTTAACCACTGACTAACTAACATAGGCTGCTCATTACTATATGCACAATAACTGCATAGTAAGCTAAGCGGGGCGGGGTAGCATTCCCCTACATAAGTATAGATTAATTACCGCAATAATGTTGTGCGTGGAACTGATGAGGCGCTCGTACTTATCGTTTGAGTCATTCGGGCAGTCCACCCACACGAGCTCCCGCAGCGTCAGGTGGAATTTATCGACGACATGATGCAGGAACGGCGTGTGAAGCTGTACGGAGGTTTGGACAACGTTAACCGAACATCGCTGGCTAGATTCAATGAAACTTGATTTACAAATAAATAATAGTTTAAAAAAACTAACAAAATACGCTTTTTATAAAAAATCCAACTAAAAAGCGTGCATGGTATCAGTAGTTATAAATATTTTATGAACAGATATGAATAGAAGGGTTATTTTGATAATGTCCTGAAAAGCACCCCACGCTTTTTTACAATAAAATCTTTTTTTCTAAACACTTTTTTTAATTCAATTTTATTTTCTATTTTTTAGTTGGATTTTCTTTAAAAGCGTATTTTGTTAGTTTTTTTAAACTATTATTTATTTTTCATTTTTTAGTTGAATTTCAATGTTTTTTTTTTCTTTTTTTTTTAATTTCGATTTGTCATCGGTCTTTAATAAGTATACCAAATTTCGAGTTGATCCGACGTTTTGAAGGGGATCAAAATCGTTACAAATCCGTTACATACATACATACGTCTGAAGCTAATAAAAGCGTATTAAAATACAAAACACATGCTGAGTACGTCCAAATGTTTTGTAAAACTACAACGACTAGTGTTGCCATATGTTAATGTGTTGCACTATGTTTATGTGTTGCCAGATTAGAAACAATTTTAAATAAAACGTAATGTTTATGATTGCCCTAAACACCTACTGATTAGAAGAACCTGCGTAGTTTCCTCGTTATTTACCGGAACCAATAGACGTCAAAACGTGAACGTATGTTCAATGTATGTTTTGAAGTCGTCGTGGCCTAAAGGATAAGACGTCCGGTGCATTCGTATGTAGCGATGCACCGGTGTTCGAATCCCGCTGGCGGGTACCAATTTTTCTAATGAAATACGTACTCAACCTATGTTCACGATTGACTTCCACGGTGAAGGAATAACATCGTGCAGTAAAAATCAAACCCGCAAAATTATAATTTGCGTAATTACTGGTGGTAGGACCTCTAGTGAGTCCGCACGGGTAGGTACCACCGCCCCGCCTATTTCTGCCGTGAAGCAGTAATACGTTTCGGTTTGAAGAGTGGGGCAGCCGTTGTGACTATACTGAGACCTTAGAACTATATCTCAAGGTGTGTGCTGCTTTAATTTACGTTGTAGATGTCTATGGGCTCCAGTAACCACTTAACACCAGGTAGACTGTGAGCTCGTCCACACATCTAAGAAATAAAAAAAATTAAAAAATTAATGTTGAGACACAAGTTCGAAGCCTCAATTTTATTGTACAAGGACTGTCGCATTCATCAAACCGAAACGCATCTTCTAGTATGAGTACGGAAATTTAGAAGTTTTACCGGCTTGATTTTTATTTACGCGCAATTTTATTTCTTTATCATACAATTCGTTCGTGTAAATATTTTAAGTACGTGTTTTATAATAAAAAAAATACTACCTGCCTGCGGGATTCGAACACAGGCAGAGTGGAATCGCTCGATACGAATGCACCGGTCGTCTTATCCTTTAGGCCACGAGACCAAATACTATTAACATGGGACGAATGAGACTAACGCGGTATTCCCATTTATTTTGAAAACGTGTATATAATCCAAATTAATTGAACATATAATTTCCATACTGTTGATTTATTATGTATATGTAAGTATATTAGTATGTATGTATATTGATATATAAATCAAATAGATATATTTCGTATCATGTGTAATATCTATTTATTGTATGTGCATATTTTCTATACTAATGTAATGTCTATAGTACACCGCAACATACCTGCTACATTTTTATATTTTTTAGAATTTCTGTAAATTAAATGGTTATCTGGAAGAGATCGCTTTTAGCGATAAGACCGCCAATTATACAAACGTATCTGCTTTTTGACTGTTTTTTAATGTAAATTGTGTTTTGGTGTACAATAAAGTGTATTCTCTCTCTCTCTCTCTCTCTCTCTCTCTCTCTCTCTCTCTCTCTCTCTCTCTCTCTCTCTCNTGTATTCCATTGGCAGTCACAAAACTCTTCTGAACGACATCTTAGATAAATAACAGGTTAAGTATTAACCTTTATTTAATGCAGGTTTTGAACCGTATTCTTTGAAGGAGACGATTATATTCAAATCAATCTGTATTGACATATCAATAACATTTTTTTGTCCAAATGCACAGATTGCCACCTTTGATAATAGACGACTCAAATATGACTTTTGTTAGCAAGTTAGCTTAAATTATGTTAGTAGTTATTTCTGCCGTGAAGCAGTAATGCGTTTCGGTTTGAAGGGCGGGGCAGCCGTTGTAACTATACTGAGACCTTAAACTCATATCTCAAGGTGGGTGGCGGTATTTACGTTGTAGATGTCTATGGGCTCCAGTAACCACTTAACAGCAGGTGGGCGAGCTCATGGCTAGTCCATGTAAGCAATAAAAATAATAATAATAATATATGTTTTCCCGGTCGCACCTAGTGTAACTACTTTTTTTCTACCTACGTTGATAGCCTTGAGAGGCTATTTCAGCTTCTCCTTTACGTGTAGGTGAGCTCACGGGGCTCAAACCGGGAGTGTTGCTAACACTAGCCCTAGCATGAGCAGTGCTTCGCAGAATCCACCACCGGATCGAAAACGCGACCCACTGAGAAGATCCGACGAGAAACTCAGTGGGCTGTGTCTATGGGTTGATTTACTCGTCGAGTCCTTTGCAAGCGACGGGTACGGGATTGTGACCGGTGCTTGAGGTACCTAAAAGCACCGTTAATGGATTGGGAGGATCCGTGATGATCTAATAGAACAGTGGCTAGAGAACTTTTTATTTATTGCCCTTGTAGGCAGACGAGCACACGGCCCACCTGATGGTAAGTGGTTAACGTCGCCCACGGACTTCAGCAATGCCAGTAGCAGAGCAAAGCCGCTGCCTACCATAAAACGCAAACACGTAGATAACACAAAGTACTCACAATATTGACGGCAACATTCAATCTATTATCGAAGACCCTGTTGATTCGGTGCCAGTCCAGACGCTTCAGCCTCATGTTCCTCTTGTACATCACGTTCAGCGACAGCATATTGAAGTTGGACAGGTTCGAGAGCGTCTCCAACGACGGATTGTTCACCTGCTCGTAATCTAATATGATATGCTGGAAGATGTATTTTCATAATCAGTTAATTACTAGTGGTCCCGCAGTAGTCGAAATTCGAACATTATTATGGTTCTATTTTCAAATACTATTATACTTAATATTTAATATAATCACAGATTTCGCCAAAACTACACTATACATAAATAATAATAAAGACAAACAATATTCATCTATTCTCAATTTGACCACAGACTTTAAACACTAACAAAATTTTGACAATTGACAATAAACAAAGAGTATGTTTATATATATGTGTTGTATCAAATACATGGTAGTGTGTGTAATGTTTTCTTTGTGATTTAATGTATCTTTAATGCATTATTTAAAAAAATATTAGCATTGTGTACTTCTCCATATTCTCTACTAGCGACCCGCCCTCGCTTCGCTTCGGAAACATTAAAAATACACATGAAACCAAAAAAAAAAAATAAAAAAAAATCAAAAAAAGTAGCCTATGTTCATCTAATGGAAAAAGAATTTTTCAAATCGGTCCAGTAGTTTCGGAGCCTATTCGAAACAAACAAACAAACAAATCTTTCCTCTTTATAATATTAGTATAGATAAATGTAGAAAATTTCATACTCCTCCGTCCGCGTAATTTTCGTAAAAAGGAATACAAAGTTTTTCCTTGACGTATTAATATATAGATTTCACGTTTGACACAAATGGGTGGAGCTATAGCGTCATAGGTCAGACGGAGGTTACGTGCCCTAGTCCAGAGAAATTCCAGCACGCATTGTACATGCGCATCTGTCTCTCTCTAACGTCAGCGTCAGAAGAGGATGAACGATTTTAAAATAAATTTAAAAGTGAACAAAATGAACATACGATGCTGGCCAACTGAGAAAACTGAAAATATAATCGTTGGAATTTAGTTTATTGATAAATCAACATTTCGGTTCTAAGAACGGGCTGCTATGGATGAAACAAATAAATAGATAAACATTATGTCAGACTGTCTTGTTTTTATAATTAACCTCAAGAGTGATATCTTAACAAGTCGATTGTATATTGGAAATAATAAGACGAAGTTATATAGCACCTTTAGAATTGAAGTGACTTAACTAAAAAATTTAAGAAAATTAATTTTATGCTTTATACGACATATAAAATTGAATACTATCAGTTGATAAAATTAAAAATTAAATTTAATATAAGTAGGTACCAGACTGCGGATTTTGATCGGTCCCCGAGAACATTACACGAGCACATAAATTCGCAATTTCATGAATGTGAAAAAACAGTAGTTTTCTAAACAAATTAATATGGCAACACCGTATTTACCGAACAACAAAACTCGAGAGTAGCTACTGCACCTTCTGCAATAGTTCTGTTGGTGATATCGAACATTTCATATTTATATGTGAGTGCTTTTCGTTTGACAAACTGATTTTTGTCAGTGAAATGAGTGACATAGTGCAAAATCAAGTGACAGTGCAAGATCCCTCTCGCCGCCTGAGTGATATGTTAAAAAATAGATCCCATTACGTGCCTCTATATAAATTTATCAAAAATACAGTGGGGAAATCATAATAAACCGAATAAAAATACTTAAGACTGGGCCTAAAGGTCTAGATAACAGGCCATAAACTCCAAAAAAAAGCAACAAAACTCATTTCTTACCTGCAACGATGAGAACATCATCAGATTGACGTTCCTACTGGACAGGACCGAGTCCTCGGGACACGGGACGGTGTTGAATGATAGAGACCTCGAAAAATACTCCACTTGTTTATTCTATAAGAAATTTATTTATTTTAGTTTTATTTATTCGTTTATTAGGCACAGAATACACATCACAAGCTAAAAAGATACATAAAATATAACAACAAGTAAAAAAAACTGGCTTGCAACATAAGACATGTGCGCACGACTAATCAAGACAAATGTGCTGAATTTGTACACAATGGTCCTTACAACTATACGACAAAAATATAACGAAAACTAGTCTAACTTATAATGTAAGGAAATAATTTTACTCACAATATACATTAAACAATTACACTACTCTTAACCTACTCTTAATAAAAATACATTATTTCTTTTCTTTACTGGTGGTAGCACCTCTTGTGGGCCCGCACGGGTAGGTACCACTACCCTGCCAATTTCTGCCGTGAAGCAGTAACGCGTTTCGGTTTGAAAGGCGGAGTAGCCGTTGTACTGTTAAAAGCGAGACCTTAGAACTCATATCTCAAAATGGGTGGCGGCATTTACGTCGTAAATGTCTATGGGTCCCGGTTACCACTTAACACCAGTAGGGCTGTGAGCTCATCCACCCATCTATGCAATAAAAATATTTTTTTTGTGTTTAGTAGAAAATACCCTAATATGCTTAAACTATCTATATTATACTCACATGATACCTCTCGTTGTCATTTTTGGCGAGGCCCATTTCACAACCTAATATCGATAAGCTCTGTAAACTATGCGCGTGTTTCAATATAAGACTCTCGGTTATTATCCTGAAAAAAAAAAAAAACAAAAAAAAATTATGTACAGTGGCCAAAGTTCAGCAAAGTTCAGTAACCGAAAAACATAAATAATACACTATTTTGAATTCAAATTTATTAAAATTGTTTTTCTATTTTTTAGTTGGATTTTCTACAAAAGCGTATTTTGTTAATTCTTTTAAACTGTTATTTATTTTTCATTTTTTAGTTGAATTTCAATATTTTCATTTTTTTTTAATTTTGATTTGCCATCGGTCCTTAACAACTATACCAAATTTCGAATTGATCCGTCGTTTTGAAGGGGGTCAAAATCATGTTCTTCAAAGATTCCGTTACAAATATACATACGTCTGAAGCTAATAAAAGCGTATTAAAAAGCGACACCGAACAGAGACAAACGTACGTTTCTGTACGATTTAGCTTGCGAGAGAGCGAGACAGAATACTGTCTGAGGGTTTTACTTCTGCTACGTATGAACATCGTTCGTTTTTATGGCGACGTCTATATAATTTTTTTTTTTAACATTTAAAGTACGGTACCTCTTTTGCATTCAATACTTAAGAATACCTTGAATTATCGCAGCTTAATTATTGTATTGTATTTCCTACGATTCACTACCTCAAATCTCTCATTCTGGGACTGCAAGCTCAACTATCAGAAAGTAAATATCACCATCTTTTTTGAGGCTCAAAGTCAAAGACACAATGTCAATATGAATTTGAAATATTCAGGACGACACACACATTCAAAAGAATCAGTAATGCTAATCGGTTATAGCTCAAAAGTTCTAGTAAGCGCCAATCCTGGGCACAATTTATATAGGGTGACCAGATTAAGTGTGAACTTATAAAAAAAAAAAATTTATACGACTAGCATAGAAACGATTAGTGGTCACCGATGCTAATGGTCATCAGGAATTCAAATGAATCGAAGGCCTTCCATATTGACGTTACTATTAAGATTATAAAAAAAAAACATCGCAATCATACCTTTTCAATTTTACAATGGGCATTTTGTTCACACGCACGTAACTGGGCCCGACGAACGTTAGTTCCGTTAATTTCACAGAATCGAAATATCTGAAACGAAAAACGTAACAATTTGAAAATATATCTTAACTATATAGGACAATTATTAACACGTTGATTGCGGGAGCATTTTTGTAAGACTTTCAGCCAGTACGTTTGAGGTATTTTCGAAGCAAGATCGGACTTCTTTGCAGTGCGTATGGGACATGATAAGCCTCACAAAGGACCGTTTATTAATATGACTCATGCCCATAGAAACCTAGACAGAGTCTCCTCCTGTTTCAAGCGAAAGAACACGGCTATGACTGCCGCATCAGAGGACAGTTGAGTATGGGGCTTTTTAAACCGGTGTTAACCGCCTATTTTAGTTAGCTGTTGGACATAGGTCTCTTCTGAGACACTCCACGCGACCCGATACACAAACGAGTGCATGAGTACATACACATACATACATAAATCCCAACAAATTACTAGAACTTATATTCAAGTACATCTATATATTAATACGCGAAGCAAAAACTGTGTACCCCTTTTTACGATAACTGCGCGGACAAAGGAGTATGAAATTTCCCACACTTATAGAGAAGGAGTGCAGAATAATAGTATTTTTTTAAATTATGCATATAAAAATCATTAAATCAATAAAGAAAACTTTACACAGACTACCATGTAGATATTTGACACATACACGCATGCATACTATTTGTTTATTGTTAAAGTTTTCTTATCGTTTAAAGTCTGTGGTCAAATTGAGAATAAATTGAATATTGTGTGTCTTTATTAATATTTGTCTAAAGTGTAGTCTTTTTTATTTTTTTTATTGCCTAGATGTGTGGACGAGCTCACAGCCCACCTGGTGTTAAGTGGTTACTGGAACCCATAGACATCTACGACGTAAATGCGCCACACACTTGAGATATAAGTTCTAAGGTCTCAGTATAGTTACAACGGCTGCCCCACCCTTCAAACTGAACCGCATTACTGCTTCACGGCAGAAATAGGCGGGGCAGTGGTACCTACCCGCGCGGACTCACAAGAGGTCCTACCACCAGTAAAGAGGTCGTACCACCAGTCTGTGATTAAAGAAGTACAAATAGTCTTTGACGAAAGAATCATAATAGTATACAAACTTAAAATTTCATTTAATTATAGTCGAAATTCGACTACACCGGGACCACTAGCCATAATAATAAGCTAACCGAACAATTACGTCAATGCTGACATAACGTGACGTACAAATAAACTTTTTTTTTTTTTTTATGGCCTGGTATCTAGACCTTTAAGCCATAAATAATCTAATTTGTCGAACAAACAAAAATTCGTTCACAATCATCACAGATAATTTTGTAACGAAACGAAAGAGTCCGATTCGATATAGATAAAACGTTAAATCGATTAAAAATTCCGTAAAGTATTACGTAAATATAGAAAAGGCACGTGCAGTAAAATATTCNTTTTTTTTTTTTTTTATGGCCTGGTATCTAGACCTTTAAGCCATAAATAATCTAATTTGTCGAACAAACAAAAATTCGTTCACAATCATCACAGATAATTTTGTAACGAAACGAAAGAGTCCGATTCGATATAGATAAAACGTTAAATCGATTAAAAATTCCGTAAAGTATTACGTAAATATAGAAAAGGCACGTGCAGTAAAATATTCACACAACGACATTATAATATATTATTATGTGCATAATAACAAACTTGCGCAATACGAATACAGATATAGAATTTTAACGAGACCTAAAAAGATACATGAGGCATAAGCTTTATTTGTTCATTTTGTTATGCTTAATGTTTTGTTGGTTTTATTTATGGAAATTTCACTAGCGCACGCTGATCGTAAGTAAGATAATAGTCTATTGTGTACTCTATTATTCTACACTAATTACCTCCATTACTTTCAAAGATTTACAATGTCGAATAAGTTAACAAATCTCGATGGAAGTTAGACATGTCATAGTTACCGAAATACAGTCCTATCCTAAGGGAAGAATTAATTCCAGAGTTGATAAGATGAAGTAAGAATATTTCAGGAAATGAACTGTATATGAACGCAAGTTTCAAATTGTTCTGCCTTTGTAAAATGGAATAATAAAAACTATTTTATACTGAAATAAGTAGATACAAAATATATTAATTTCAAAATATCTAGTTGGCGGAAATTATTAAGAAATTGATGCGGTTTTTAAGTTTAGTAATCTCTTTTTAACCGATTTCAAAAAAGGAGGAGGTTCTCAATTCGACTGTATGTTGGTTTGTTTTGTTTGTTACCTCACAACTTTTGTCTGGGTGAAACGATATTTTTTTATTAGAAAGCTGACGCTTCCCGTGTGGTCCCATTTCAATTTAGTCCAGTTCTGATAATGGCATCCATGAGAAAACTATATAAGTCTTAAACTTGCATTAAGTACGTGCGGGACAAATAGATGGATAACTTAATAACTCAATATCACGTCAACCGATTTCGATGATTATTGTTTTTAGTGTATATTAATTTGTTTTGGAATATCTTTGTTTTTCTATTTGAAGTCGGTTTTTGTTAAAGCATATCTATTTACAATTACTAGAGGTCCCACAGTAGTCGAAATTCGACTATAATTAATTGGAATTGTAAGTTTGTACACATACTATAGTCACAAATTTCGCCAAGGCTACACTATAAAATAATATTAATAATCAAAAACAATATTTAATCTATTCTCAATTTGACCCCAGACGTCAAGAACAAAAGTTTGACAATAAATAGTATGCATGCGTGTGTGCATCAAATACATGGTATGTGGTGTGTGTAACGTTTTCTTTATTGATTTAATGTATGTTTTATGCATTATTTTAAAAAAAATATTAGCATTGTGCACTTCTTCTCTATATCTATACTAATATTATAAAGAGGAAAGATTTGTTTGTTTGTTTGTTTCGAATAGGCTCCGAAACTACTGGACCGATTTGAAAATTTTTTTTCCATTAGAAGCCGACATTGTCCCTGAAGAACATAGGCTACTTTTTTTAATTTTTTTTTTTTTTATTTCATGTGTGTTTTAATGTTTCCGAAGCGAAGCGAGGGCGGGTCGCTAGTTCTCTATAAGTGTGGAAAATTTCATACTCTTCCGTCCGCGCAATTTTCGTAAAAATGGATACAAAGTTTTTGCTTCACGTATTAATATATAGATAACCTACATCCATGTCACGATGTGTTACTCAAAAACAATTCCACAAATGAATATAATCATTGCTGTTTGTCGCAATGTTCGTTTACAATATCATCAAGTACGAATGAACAAACAAACTAACTGTACACCCAATCATTATTGTATTACATTGTTCGTATATAACATGATTACGACACGTAATACAATCGCGATAAATCCACAGTTGCGACATTACTACATTTAACATTTTAACGGCCGTCTGGTGTAGTGGTAAGTGACATGGTCACTACACAAGGGGGTCGCGGGTTCGAATCCCGCCAAGGGAAGATATTTGTATGATAAATATAAATGTCTTTTCCAAGGTTATGTATGTATATTAAATATATGTAGATAATAAAAATCTTATATTTATTTACGTTATCTGGCACCTGTAACACAAGTTCTTTACGAACTTAGCACGGGCCCAGTTAATGTGGCGTGATTGTTAGTAAATATTAATTTATTATTATTATTATTATTATTTTTTTATTAGTTCGTTAGATTTTAAGCATTGATATGATTTTTTTTTATTGCTTAGGTGGGTCGACGAGCCACAGCCCACTTGGTGTTACGCGGTTACTGGAACCCATAGACATCTACAACGTAAATGCGCCACCCACCTTGAGATATAAGTTCTAAGGTCTCAAGTATAGTTACAACGGCTGCCCCGCCCTTCAAAGCGAAACGCATTACTGCTTAACGGCAGAAATAGGGCAGGGTGGTGGTACCTACGCGCGCGGACTCACAAGAGGTCATATCACCAGTACGCAAATTATAATTTTGCAGGTTTGCTTTTTAATACACGATGTTATTCCTTCACTGTGAAAATCAATCTTGAATATTTGTTAAGTGCGTATTTCATTAGAAAAATTGGTACCCGCCTGCGGGATTCGAACACCGGTGTATTGTTCGATACGAATGCACCGGGCGCCTTATACTTTAAGCCACGTCGACTTTATATACTTTATCTACTTAATACCTTTAATACTTTATGTACATAATACCATCATTATACGACTGGTGGTAGGACCTCTTGTGAGTCTGCGCGGGTAGGTACCACCACCCCGCCTATTTCTGCCGTGAAGCAGTAATGCGTTTCGGTTTGAAGGGTGGGGCAGCCGGTGTAACTATACTTGATACTTTAAAACTTATATCTCATGGGTGGCGCATTTACGTCGTAAATGTTTATGGGCTCCAGTAACCACTTAACACCAGTTGGGCTGTGAGCTCGTCCACCCATCTAAGCAATAAAAATAAAAAAAATGCTAGAGTAATTTCAAATAGTTATATTCAATTTATTTGTCGGGCAGAAAAAACTATCATAACCCTAAGACAACGTTGGGATTGTTATTAAAAAGATAAGATGTTATTTTGACAAGAAAAAAAAAGGACTTATAATATTTACGAATGAGATTCAGCAAAAACATTTCACGAGAAAGAAAATAATATTTATATACAACCTGGCATCACAAATAAAAAGAAATCATTATGTAAACAGCCTCTTCTCTGAATGCTTTGGTTACAGAACGTTAATGTAACGTGATCCGCATGAGATTATTTATCGGTTCAAAAACGCACGACAGCACAGTTCATATATACATATAAATAAAATTAGAGTGTCTGTTTGTGATATTGAAATAACCGCTTTTTACCACATGCATATGAATATATATACGGTACATACACCAAAATTACATTTTTTACAATTTTTGTCTGCCTGTCTGTTTGTTCAGGCTAATCTCTGGAACGGCTGGACCGATTTTGATGAGACTTTCACTAATAGGTAGCTGATGATATAAGAAGTAACATAGGCTACTTTTTTAAGAATAGGTTCGCCCCGCGGCGTCACCCGCAGTTATTGTCGTACCGCGCGCAACATGGCGGGCTTCGCCTATCAATAATAAAATTTAATGTTTCCGAAGCGAAGCGAGGGCGGATCGCTAGTACAAAATAAAAACGGATGTGGATATTCCGAGAACACATCTCGGGTATAGAGCTCCCTATCCGATAATGTTCTGCGTAATCATTTGAAACTTAACACAGTCGCTGACATTACAGTTTCTTGTTAATGTTAATTGATATTGTTAATCGTAGATGAAGGTAGAATTGTTTCTTGAAATCGGGGCACTTGCGCATTTAATGAGATTAATACTGTAATATATTTTTTCTTAAGTTTCATTGTGTGCGTATGACGCTACCAGGTCCCTATAGATCTGTATTCTATTACCTATAATAGAATGCTATGGGGATTTAATTTCCATTATATTTTCCGCTTCTTTTACTATGATACCAGTAATCAACAAACAAAACAGCAAAAAAAATCTGTCAGGAAACTGTAGCACTTGAGAAAATCCACAAGCTTCAAACCAGACAATGAGATAAAAAAAAACAAGTAAAACCGATATAAAAAAGGTCTTTTTTATTGCTTAGATGGGTGGACGAGCTCACAACCCACCTGGTGTTAAGTGGTTACTGGAGCCCATAGACATCACGCAAATGCGCCACCCACCTTGAGATATAAGTTCTAAGGTCTCAAGTATAGTTACAACGGCTACCCCACCCTTCAAACCGAAACGCATTACTGCTTCACGGCAGAAATAGGCAGGGTGGTGGTACCCACCCGCGCGGACTCACAAGAGGTCCTACCACCAGTAAAAAAACAAGTAAAACCGAAATAAACAAAAGTTCAGATTTATTAAATATTTACTTTAAATGAAAACTACAATAAAATTAATATCATCCGACAAATACTGACATTCATTTATAAATAAATGAGAAACGTACAATCGAAGACTGTCTGAAACAATGTAGTGAAACGTCGAACTTTCTAGACATGCCGATAGTCGACACTACCCGGTACCGTCGCGTCGTCCGCGACCTCGCCATACTTACGTTTTGACATTTGAATTTCGGTTAACATTATTTTGTTATATAAGCTTTGATAGGCCAGTGATTCTGAAGTTTTTATAAAAACCATTGAGGGATCTATTGAGCGAAACTAAATTGAAGGGTCAATGGCTAAGTTCCTGTTTTACTCTTAGTAAGAGTTTTCGGTGTCGGTGCATCTAACTGACTACATTGCCGATCCTGCGGACCAAATGGTAAACAGTCGACGTTGCCCAAAACACGTCGTCTCGGATTCTTCCGATCCATTAACGGTGCTTTTAAGTACCTCAAGCACCGGTCATCGTTATCATCGAACCCGTCGCTTGCGACGAAAGGCTCGGCGAGTAAACTAACCCACAGACACAGACCGCTGAGTTTCTCGCCGGATCTCAGTGGGTCGCGTTTCCGATCCGGTGGGAGATTCTGCGAAGCACAGCTCTAGCTAGGATTCGTGTAAGCAACATCGTCAGGTTTGAGCCCCGTCAGCTCACCTACTACTTAGCCCGGTGACGATGACATATAAAACTTATAGTTTACGAACTAATGAGGCTATGAAAAAAGAAAAATGCTTATGTATTTGTCTGTAATATGATGTGGAAAATATGGGTGATTTAACTTAGCGTTTGGGTACGTTCTAAAGAACAACATAATAATTCACACTAAGCAGGTAGTAAGCTCTTTCGCCCCAGCTTTTTTGAAAGGAAGAGTTTTATAGAAGTTATTCCAAAATCATATTTATCGGTGGAATTTTGTTACGTCGATATTACGAGAATCCAACGGATCATAGGTAATATATCTAAACTACAAACAATGCTGTCACTGACTGACGCTATGACAAACAATAGCAGGTAAACAGATGAATCAAGATATTAGAAATTTTTTGGTTGATAGGTAGGTAGGTATGTTCAATACATTAGAGGTGCAGAAGGGAATTTGAGACTTCATACTGTCTCAAATTCTACCATGACCCCGTTACGTCACTTGTATAGGTTTACTAGTTCCACTTACTAGCTTAACATGTTGGTCATAGATCCGATCCTACGCTAGACTAATAAAGATATATTTTTTTAAAACCGCCTCTTCACTAGATAGTATAAAACAAAGCCGCTTTCTCTGTTCCTATATAGGGATATGCTTAAATCTTTAAAACTACGCAACGGATTTGGACGCGGTTTTTTTTTGATAGATAGAGTGATTGAAGAGGAAAGTTTATTATATGTATAATAACATCCATTAAATAGTGGAGAAATAAATAATAAATTACAGTTTCCGAAGCGAAGCGAGGGCGGGAGGCTAGTAAAGAACTAAATGTGATGATTTTATTTGAGAACAATATATTTTTTAACTGCGGCAGGTCCACCATATAATGTAAAATTCTATACCAAATACTTAAGCGTGTAGAGCAGAAACAAATTTTCATTACCGCACACGCAACTTTGAAATATCAAGAAAAGCGTCATCGGACCTAGTTATTAGAACTCATCGGGTATCTAGGTATATTAACTAGAGGTCCCGCAGTAGTCGAAATTCGACTATAATTAATTGGAATTGTAAGTTTGTACACTATTATGATTGTATTTTATACTTCTATAATCACAAATTTTGCTAAGACTATACTATAAAAAATATTAACAAAGACAAACAATATTTAATCTATTCTCAATTTGACAACAGACGTCAAGAACAAAAGATTGACAATAAATAACCGCATTATTGCACCGCCAGTCCAAAGACCGCTCAGCGGACTTTGCAGATGATGCGCTTAAGTGCATGTCAATTATGCATTATTTAAAAAAAATATTAGCATTATGCACTTCTTCTCTATATTCTCTATAAATGTGGGAAATTTCATACTCTTCCGTCTGCGCAATTTTCGTAAAAAGGTTACAAAGTTTTTGCTTCACGTATTATCTATATATTAATTAAAGGAGTGCAGAATGATAATAGTTTTTAAAATTACGCATAAAAAATACATTAAATCAATAAAAAAAACATTACACACACTACCACGTATTTGACACACACACACGCATGCACACTATTTGTTTAATGTCAAACTTTTTTTATTGCTTAAAGTCTGTGGTCAAATTGAGAATAGATTAAATATTGTTTCTCTATTAATATTTGTCTAAAGAGTATTTTTGGCGAAGTCTATGATTATAGAAGTATAATAGTCTTTGAAAATAGAATCATAATAGTGTATAAAGTTATAATTTCAATTAATTATAGTCGAATTTCGACTACCGGGGGACTACTAGTATAATAAATTGTATCTGAAACACAACATTACGATATCATTAAGCTACGTCATCATTGTATTTTAACGCTACAACTAAACAAAACATTGAAACCGAAACGCCATATTACCATACATTCTTCTATGACCAAAATCACACTCATCGAAGAGAGCTCCGTTTGTAATCTTTGATTGATAAATTGCAGGTTGTTGAGACTTGTTAAGACGCGATACGCGGTTGCAAGTCCCACGGTTATAGAACTCGTAAATCATGTTTGATTGAACAGGACGTTCCCAATCTTAACAAGAAAACCCTCCCTCGGTAGATCTCTTGTGATACAATTGGATACAATTCAGGGGGCTAAAGAATTGTCGCGGAGCAAAACTGATAGACAAAACCGTGCAAGTGTCTGTCAGACCGAGGACTGCAAGGGGTTACGTATACAAGAACTAATTTATATATATACATATATACATTTAAGTGAAGATTAGAATCAAGAATGGTAGGCAGCGGCTTGGCTCTGCCCCTGGTATTGCTGACGTCCATGAGCGACGGTGACCACTTACCATCAGGTGGGCCGTATGCTCGTCCGCCTACCAAGGCAATAAGAAAAAAAAAGAAAAAAAAAAAAATCAATTACGGCATGAAAGTTAGATCGGCGGAACTAGGTAGATTGTTTTAAAATTTAGAGGAAGCAATTTTTTAGGGTTGAAATAAATGTAGGAAAGTTTCTAGGCGCGAATTTTAATGACAGTCGGGTTCATGATCTTTACTAATTGGCGGACGGGGTAAGAAACTAGACTCCAGCACCGCTTCACTATAATGTCACTTCATTCCATAACAAATCTTACAAACACTTTCGGCGCAAGAAGTCGTAGTGACTTGGAGGACAACACGCCTGGTTTTCTATGGATCGATGCGACTTCGACGATGTTCGAATCCCGCGAGCCGGTACCGATTTTACCAATTATATACGTGCTTAACAAAAGTTCACGAACTTCCACAATGTAGGAAGGCCATGTAACTATACTGAGGCCTTAGAACTTATATCTCAAGGTGGGTGGCGCAGTTACATTATACATGTCTATGGGCTCCAGTAACCGCTTAACACCAGGTGGGCTGTGAGGTCGTCCACCCACCAAAGCAATAAAAATAAAAAACATCGTGTAATAAAAATCATATAATTTGCACAAAAAATATAATTTGCGTAATTACAGATGGTAGGGCGTGTTGTGAGCCCCCACGAGTAAATATCACCACCCTGCATATTTCTGCCGTGAAGTAGTATCGAATTTTAGTTCTCGGGTGCCGACGTTTACTTGGTTGATATCTATGAGCTTCGGAAACCACTTACCTCAACTACCATCAGTAAAGGTCCTACCATCAGTAATCTAAGCAAAAAAAAGCACTGTCGAGACTAGAGATAAGAAATATTTTGAATTAAATCGATTTTCTTAATCGTAATAAGTAACCCGTTTAATAGATTTGCGATTTCGTACTAATTGTCGTGTAAAGTGGTTTTACTCACTGTGGTAACACGAAGCTGACGAATTTGTCTAAATCCACTTCATTCTCGATGACTATATGTAGTTTCCTAGCGTTTCTTCTGAACATGCGCGTTAAAAACAAATTCTTTTCTAAATTCCCTGTGTTTAGCTTTACAGTTTCCCTGTCAAATAAATGAGAAAATTAAATCATGAAAAGCCAAAGAAAACACAGGCATCCATCTTATAATATACTCTTCATGTAATTTTTATGTTTCTTATTCCCATTCAGTGATATTATAATACACTAGTGATATAACATTAAACAAATTATATTTAGTAGCTGCTTGCGTGAAAGACGATATGGGTAAGAGGGGAGTGAGCAAAGAAATGGTATATGATAGAAGAGTATGGAAGGAGAAAACATGTTGCGACGACCCCAGGTAACTGGGAGAAGGGCAGGATAATGATGATGATGATTTAGTAGCTGGGAATGGTTTTCGGTCTTTCTGGAAATCGTGCAGCAAATCAAATATCCTTTGTATAGCATGAGCGTCACCATTTCCAGACATTCATCAGGTTATAATTTGCTGTGTTCGGGTATATAATATGTAGCTATAGGTATTATTTATATGAAAACATAGTTTGGGAATCTACTACACTGCTTTAAACTGTGGAATATAATGAAAACAAAAAAAGAGTTTTTATTTTTATTTAAATGAGCACATAGCCCACCGATGTTAACTGGTTATCAAAGTCAATAGATCTAAACTGAATTTGAGACTCTCTGATGCCAGACTTTTAATGAGGCTTATTAGAGGAACTCTGGCCTTGTATTTATTGCCTTGAAATGAAGACTTTGTCACAGGTCACTTGATCATGATTGCTATAGTGTTTATTGATAATGAATTACTTACTTATATCCTTCATATAATAAAACAGCATCCCTCCAATGCCTACATGTGGACATTGCTGCCAAGGCATCCTCCATGCTCAGGTAATCCAGCACACACCTCAGTGGAAGTAGTGGCAAAATGTCCCATGTTTGAGACATCTGTTGATAATGAAATAACTACAATTATTCTTGATTAACAAAAAGCCCAATATGTTCGGGTTATTAGGCTTGATTATTTTAAATGAATATTTATTCAGAACTTCTTATTTCTTAGGATAAGCCACCTTTCATATTAATTTTGTGGGTAAAAAAACATAAGGGACGATGAGAAAATGCTTTGTAATAAATATGTTAACTTTGGCTATCAAGATGATTTTTCAGTGTAAAATTAACCACCTATAATTTAATTTTAATGGAAATCCTGACAAATTGTGTATGCAAAAATTGGCCCCAAAAAGAAACCCAAAGTGTCTATTGTAAAAGAGATATTTTAAATTTTAATCAAAAAATTTCAGACTAACATAAAATACTAATTGGATAAGTCATAATTATGTAGATTCCTTTTTTTCTAAAAAAAAAAAAGGTTATTGGATTCAATTCTGATTATTCATAATTGTAGGGTAATTTAAGTTTGTGATAAAAATTTGGCAATTAAAATTGTGACTGCTTTCATTAATTTTAATACATTCCCTTGAAAGGGCCTTTCAGAATAGTTTAAAAGCCTGATAGGTTGATATTAAAATTATTGAACCAAGATATAATTTATGTCCTAAAAATATTTTTGTACTCAATTGTAACTCCAACACTTATTTTCGATTTCATAATTCTAATAAAATGATTCTGGAAAGGAATTCATCAAAAACATAATCAATCAGCTGTTCGATATTTATATGACGACATAGCAGCTGTTCCTAAGGAAAGTGGGTTGACGAAATTTAACACGTAAATGAAGTTTTAAACTTCCCCAGAAGCTGTTATGTAGTATTTTTGTTTAGAATAGATGTGTAATTAAACATAGTTGGAATATAAGCAATTTAATACGACATATTTAAAAAAAATCCCATTATTACAAGGTACAAAGAAAGGTCAACAAATCAATGATTTACATACCTTCTAAAAACTTGTATTTTTTCTCTTTGATTTCTTGGTTTTTATATTTCGTTTCGTTCCAAGTTTGGTTACAATCACTTTAATTACAATTAAGAGAAAGTGTCAAACATTCAAATTATTTACACGTCCATTTTATTATCGTACAAAATAACAAACGACCGTTTGTCTTAATTAAAAATATTTCAATTCTTTCACTCGATTGACTTCTTGACTATTCTTGACGTAGCTGACACTTGACAACGACTTTAGAAACAATCTTGACAGTAGCCAAGCAGTGAGCCAAGCTTATATCCATGTTGGAACAACTGTTCAATTGGCACAAAATATCTAAAATAGAAATAACTTTTCGTTGTATTGATAAATTTCGTTTTCTTCAAATTACCACATATCTAATTTGAATAACGAAAGATTTTATTTTCAAGATGTAGGCCTCTCAGTAAAGTGAAGACTATACAAAGGTGTGACTAATGTATAGGTCCACCAAATTTTTGAAGTTATTTCTTAAATTTACAAGCCAAATTTACGAAAATAATGTATATTTCATATTTTAACATTAATTTTGAATGTTCGTTGCCAACTGTGTTTAAAGGATAGACTGAAACTCCAAACATTATTTGTTTTGAATTTTAGTTTTAGGGGCAAATGATATTAAGTCAAGCCATTTATTGTTTTGCATAAGGGTGACTAGGTAATGGCCTACCTAATGTGAATATTTCGACACAGAAATAATTTTCAAGATAAAATAACCCTAACTATTGGTTAGCACATTTTTGCGGAAATCAGGTCTATATTAAGTAATCCATTGCAAGTGTATTATGTCCTGGGATGGAATCTCTTAAAACTGCTGTGTCTATAAAAACTATAAACTTGGCTGAAAGCTCATTTGCGTTCAATAGGAAGTCCCTTTTTGTAGTACATTTACAATGTGCTCAAGGCTTGCATGGTGCATATCTGTTGGCACTGTGGGTGTGAATTTTGTGAGTAGTAGTGCCTTTGCAGGCTGCCCTGACAACACCACAGTGGTCACTGATCAGTAAAGTCTTATTTTTTCAAATTAATCTTGACATTTTAGTAGAAAAATTTAATACTGGCAATTATTCCGCAATGGCGGACAAAAATCGATTTTGAATTAATTTGAACTTGCGCGAAGACGTCGCAGTACGTCCCGTGCTGTTATTATTTATTACTTTTGTATTTAAAATCCAGATTCAAGCCGTCGTGTTGAAATTTAGCTTTTAAATAATAATTTCTTTTATAATTTAATGCTGTTAGCAAATTAAACTAGAATGTTTTATTTTTTGCGATGATGTAAGAATTCGAAGGTCTAAAGGCTTTTGAGCACGGGTTTGCGTCATTATCGCACGGAGCGTGCGCGAGTTTCACCATGGATGGGGAGGACGGAGGCACCGGAAACACCGATAAAGAAGAACATGAGAGCAGCACGAATTCTACACCTCAAGAACATAAATCTTTTGCTGAATTTGCGAAAGATAAACTCGACAGTGGTAAATATATTATTGCTATTTGAACTAAAACCTATTAACACTACGCCTTTTCTTCCTCAGGTATCCCTTTGTATATTGTGTTGCGCATCCTATTCTATAAATATACTGAGTGTGGGGTGGGAAGTGGGTAATTGAAATGGTATTGATTTGTGCTCGGGACTGGAGTAACGAGGATGCGCCGACGAATAACGAATCACTCGTTCTAAGGCGTACATTGATTGAATACCTTTTTAGTGTTAAATTCAATCCTTTAAAAAACTTTAATGTTGTTTTAAATTAAAATAGTACAATTTTGTTTATTGAAATGGAAATTATATCAACTAATGATGCCCGAAAAGTAAATTTCTTTGTGAAAAAACTTTTGATATCGTAATAAGATAATTTAAATAGATTCATCCATTATGCATATTGTATTTGATTATACTTTAAAGTTCATTATTCAGGTATACAATAAAGATGATGTGGAATACTTGTAATAATTATTACTTAACTAATTTTTAGGACAATTAATAACCAGTCTAAATATTTATTGTTTTTTTGCTAGCTGGACGAGAGCTCCGCAGACGTTTACCCATGGCCGGTCAGCTTGGGGCTCACCTGATGCATCCGAGGAGATTACTTCTACACTCAACTCCCACTCAGCAAACCGATGTAGTGCTGATATTTCCCAAAGGTATGCATCTTTTAAACCTTATACTCTAATTATTATAATTCTATTGCAACTATATTACTCTTTGACTAGCTTTCAAAATTAAAAATACAATTGTAATTAGTCTTATTTGACAATAAAATGAAGACCAAGCCTGTATGGCTACTGCTTTGCCGTTTTGCCCTGACATTGTCGGTAGTAGCAGTATTGTTACTAATATATTTACTATACTATTGTAATTATTTTTATTCCTCAAGAAAATCTACCTAGTGCTAAGTGGTTATTAGAGTCTATAGATATAATGCATCATAGCCACCATATTGAGCCATATTGAGTGAGATATGATATTGAACGGTGACTAAAATTATAATGGACAATGCCTTCTACAACCCTTCAGTCTGGAACACAGTACTGTAACACAGATATAAGCAGAATGGTGGTTTTTACCCATTGGACTCATAACATAATCCACAAACCCTATCGCCAATAAAAAATATATTTCTGTACTGAACTCCCAGGATCTTAGATTTATAGCCCTGCTTTATTTCCACCACAAAGCGCTTTATATGCTTGGGGCGCTTGCGTTTATAGTGTGAGACAGCAATGCAATGCCCAAAAAAAGAAATCTATAATGTCATCCTAAAAACACAGCACACTACAAATGCAATGCTCTGTTACAGCTTTTTTATTGTATGAAGTGATTTTAATTATTGATTCAATAAAGTAATATGTGTAATAAGAATAATTCTTCAGCGAGTCTATAGATTAAATTCGAAGTCTGTCTTCTACCCAATCGAGACTTTCAACTGCATCTCTCAAGCTAAGGATGGCATTTACGACATAATGTCGTGTGCGAAAACTACTCTATACCCTTACTAGCGACCCGCCCTCGCTTCGCTTCGGAAACTGTAATTTATTATTGATTTCTCCACTATTTAATGGATGTTATTATACATATAAACCTTCCTCTTCAATCAATCTATTTATTAAAAAAAACCGCATCAAAATCCGTTGCGTAGTTTTAAAGATTTAAGCATACATAGGGATAGACAGATATAGGGACAGAGAAAGCGACTTTGTTTTATACTACTCGTATGTAGTGAGGGCAATAAATACATAAATCGAAACTTCTAGAATTGAAATACAGTTTTGCCGACGCTCGACCTTTCACCGTATTGATCGCGCTGTGGGAAATACATTATGGCGGACGCGACGTGTCTGGCGTCCGGGAAGTCTAGATACTTAGATAGGGTTTAGGCTCAGCATATAATTTGAGTTATTTATGTGACTCGGTTTGCTCAATTCTAAGATATTCGATAATGATGCGATTTTGTACTTACTTAAAATATGCCCATGAAAGAAGGAACAATCATTGTTTAGTTGTCTCAAATATGAATTAAGTTATTCTGTTCGTTTACCGATACGTAAACAAATTTAGATAAACAAGGTATATTGGCAATTCATCCGAATTTAAGTGATCATTGTTTTAATTGGTCTTGAATTATTTCTGGAAGTCCAGAGAAGGTTTAAAACGTAGATAAATATGAAAATTATGAAAATGCTTGGAATTAAATAAAAATAACAATTTTCTTTTCCCTTTGATGTGTCCCCCGTCTGACGGATTCCTATTGTTTGTTTTAAGTTTATTTTATACAGAAGTTTAGGTCTTTTATTTATCGATTGAGGCACTGCGAAGTCTGCCGGGTCAGCTAGTAATTGATATATTTAAACAGCTGAACAAATTTTCATCGAATATCTGTGGGACTGCTTAAAAACTATTAAGTCACAGCCAGACCGTCTTCACATACATAAACAGACAAACATAATCATCAAATGGAAACATCCTACAATTCTCGACGTCCGGCTGTGAAAGAATTTATTATGTTATTATATCACAAACATCATGGCACATGGCCAATTTCCTTTTCTGTTTCATGGGAGATGATTGATGCTATACATATTTACCATTAACTTCATAGTACATAAACATATTCATTGCCATATCCTTTCGGGTGAAGTCATTGACATTTCTGGCTGGGGTCCAAAACAATGTTTTTATCATGCTGTGACAATAAGTTTAAGAGCTAACGGTTTTCCTCATTATTATGGGTACTTAAGTAACAAATTTTTTTCGCCTACCCACCTTTTCGCCAGTAGCCTCTGAATGCTATTCTGGCTTCGCCTTTGTTTGTGGGCGACCTCACGGGGCTCAGCCTGAAAAAAACTTTCTAACATTCTGCCCTAGTAAGAGTAGCGCTTCGATGATTCAACCATTTTTACTGGTGGTAGGACCTCTTATGAGTCCGCACGGGTAGGTACCACCACCCCGCCTATTTCTGCCGTGAAGCAGTAATGCGTTTCGGCTTGAAGGGTGGGGCAGCCGTTGTAACTATACTGAGACTTTAGAACTTATATCTCAAGGTGGGTGGCGCATTTACGTTGTAGATGTCTATGGGCTCCAGTAACCACTTAACACCGGGTGGGCTGTGAGCTCGTCCACCCATCTAAGCAATAAAAAAAAAAGTTCCACAAATAACTATTTTTCCCTAAGGATAATTAAATTAAACGTAATTAGACGTTACCGCCATAATTACATAACTGAGACAATTTGACTATGAAAATTATAGCTTCTGAATTATTGCACGGTACGTTTCTTTTCCTCCTTTAGACACGTCGAATACCAAACAAATATTTTTTAAATCGCCTCATTTGTCGACCCTGTGATTTAAATGATGAATCCCGTCAATATTCGACAGAATACATCGAACGGAATGCATAAACAATGAACTGTTTTTAGATATCAGTCTCCTTTCGTGTTTTTTTTTCAATAGTATGCTACCGACTCTCCTACATAATTATGTGCATAAAAATGGGACCGTGAAACGAGCTTTGTCCATAGCCTGTTTGTTTGTAACGACTCCGAATTATATTATACATAATGTTATCTTCCCCATCCTTGCATCGTTTTCTCAGTTCTGATGGTTTTACACTTGTTCGGACTATGTTCCTTCATCCTCTCCTGCCTTCTTCGCAGCGGATAGCCTTATTGATGTTGGAGTCCAATATCGTTTTAATTTGATCGCAACACCGCATTTATTTATTTATTCATATGCATGTAGTAAAAAACTGTTATTTCAATATTACAAACAGAATTATATTTATATGTATAGATTGAAAGGTGCGTTTTATTTGGTATTAACATCAACGTTTCGATGTTTTTAACTGAACTTCGATTAAGTTTACTCCATTCAAATAGCTGAAGAAGTTTTGTTGTTAAGATATTATTTCCAAATTTTAAACTATAAATAATTCTCCTGTAAGATTACAAAAATGTCTCTATATTTTTTTATTGCTTATATGGGTGGACGAGCTCACAGCCCACCTGGTGTTAAGTGGTTACTGGAGCCCATAGACATCTACAATGTAAATGCGCCACCCGCCTTGAGATTAAGTTCTAAGGTCTCAAGTATAGTTACAACGGCTGCCCCACCCTTCAAACCGAAACGCATTACTGCTTCACGGCAGAAATAGGCAGGGTGGTGGTAACCACCCGCGCGGACTCACAAGAGGTCCTACCACGAGTAATTTAGCATGAGACTACGCCCCCTTAGCCCCCTTTCTTATTATATTATTATAGTCAAACACAAATACCAAATGATAATTGTTTACATTGCATTTACAACTAAACGAATAGCCAATGTGAAATGATCTTGAGAATCTGTTTGTTTTGATTCTCGGAAACTAATAATAAAGTTTTGCCACAAATAATAAACGGAATGTTCTGGGCTATTGCTTACAAAATGTCTGTCGGGAAAACAGTAAAATTTTCAATGTATACGTACGTACGTTGTTAAAGTATTCATGGACGATAACGGTTACTGCATATGTTCATCCCTGAAGTTATTGTCTGTGCCAACAGCAGTACAGAGTTTAATTAAATTTTCTTTCGTTTCCTATCGAGTGATATAACAATGGAATCGTTCCGAATAAATGATGCCTTTATAAACCTTTAAGTCTGATTAAAATTAAAGGTGACTATTTAGCTCTTTATACTTTAGACATCACTTAAATAACCAACTTACCTAGTTTGGTTTTAATCGATTAGCATAGTTTCGTGTTAATAAGTTTCCCTGACGTGGGCACTATATTCTTTTTTTTTTTTATTGCCCTTGTAGGCAGACGAGCATACGGCCCACCTGATGGTGAGTGGTTACCGTTGCCCATGGACTTCAGCAATGCCAGGGGCAGAGCCAAGCCGCTGCCTAATTTCATATTTTCAACTAATTTCATTCGTTTCATAATGATTTATTTACGCGCAACGTCGTCACGAATGCTAATAAAAAAGTCGTATCCTAATTTTTCCACCTCAAGTAAATAATAACGTAAAACATACCAGAAAAGTAGATCTATGTTGAATTTTGGACAAGCTATAATAGTTTGTATTGTAAATATGGTAGAGCTAGTTTCGGTTAATGGGCTATAACTACATTATTCTATTACTTCTGGTTGATTATTGACATAATTAAAATTTTATTTTACAATTAATATACTACTTCGTCATAGCAATCAAATCAAATCAAATTAAATCAAAAAAAATTTATTCAACATAAATGAAAGTACATACTTGTTGAACGTCAAAAGAACTACCGCCAATTCACAAGAACTAGCCTCCGTCCTGAGAAGAATTGGCAAGAAACTCAGCGGGCATGTATTTTTTTTTGTAATATTTGATAGAAAGAAATTAATATAAGTTTTTTTGTTAAATATTCATTTTTATAATGAGTATTATAACATAACAATTATTACAATATTGAAATGCCCGGAGCGAGCAACTCATTCCCACTTTGTGCAATCTTCTAGTAAGTAAGTAATCTAATAGCTTCATGAGTGATTTGTTACATAGTTGACTTATAAGTACCGATTTTATAAAACAAGCGGACCGCTCCGGCTTCGCTCGGGTCTTTAACAAAAATTCAACGATATTTGACGTTGTTTTATTTTTTTAAATAAAAGAACATTTGTTGCGGCACAACTATAATAGTTAGATATATGCTGTCACAACATTTTTTGTAAATAATGATGTGTTCTACAAAGTCGTAGTACATTATTTTATTCTATCATCAAAAGTTTTTGCAGGGCACGCGATGTAAAGAATATTTTAGGTATTTTTTTTACATTATTGGAGTTACATTATTGGAGTTTTAGTAAGGATCCGTAATTTTTTTTTCTTTAAAATTATAGCCTTTGTCACTCGGGAATAATGTAGCTTTCAAACAGTGAAATAATTTTTCAAATCGGTTCAATAGTTTCGGAGCCTATTCAATATAAACAAACAAACAAATCTTTCTTCTTTATAATATTAGTATAGACTAGCGACCCGCCCTCGCTTCCCTTCGGAAACATTAAATTTTATTATTGACTAGCTGAGTCCTGCGATGCTACCCACGGTTACGGTCGTATTGCGGGTGACGCCGCGAGGCGAAGCTAGTTTAAAAAAAGTAGCCTAAGTTACTCTTTATATCATCAACTACCTATCAGTGAAAGTCTCGTCAAAATCGGTCCAGCCGTTCCAAAGATTATCTGGAACAAACAGACAGACAGACAAAAATTGTAAAAAATGTTATTTTGATGTATATAATTCATATGCATGTAGTAAAAAGCGGTTATTTCAATATTATAAATTGACACTCCAATTTTATTTAAATGTATAGATAAGTATAGATATTCGTCATTCGTCCCGTTTTTTCTAAGTCAATCTTTCTTTGCTTCAGGCCTACCAGACAGTATGCTTTTATGGTTACTGCAGAAGCTCAGAGGGAGTAGGCCGCGACTACGTGTCTGCGTCAGGCAGCACGCCTCCTCTCAATGCTCAGCCTTCTACATCACAGCCGACGATGATGTGTGAGTAGACCTTCATATATAGTTTAATACAGACGTGCTTTGCTTTGCCGAAAACATTTTTTTGTTTGTTTTCATCACCTCACCACAAGCTTTATTTTTTATAAAATCACCTGTCTTAATGTTGTGTATCGTGACATTTCATTCTCCTAAAAACTATTTTTGTGTTCCTTATCCATATCCAACACCGAATTTCTGGAAATATGCTGGATATGTTAAGTCCAGTTGTCCTTAAAACTAAACATCAGGTACTTGGAATTTATAAGTTTTCTTTGTTATTGTTAAATGTTAATTGTCTTGTATTGTGTACTTGGTGTATAAGAGATGTTCTTGCCTTACTGTGATAGATTTTTCATTGAAAAAATGAGATATTTTGAACAAAACATGAGGCCGGACTTGCCTGAGTTTAATTCTTTTCAAAGATGTTGTCAGACCAACGTAAGTCGTGTGCCTTGTCAAAATTCTATTTCTAGCTAGTTTCCATTCTCATTGGAAGCTACTGACGATCCCCTATATTCGAAATTGGCTGTTTGATCTTTTTCTTCGATAAATTATTGTGCTTTAATATATTGTTATTTAGTCATAAAGTTTAGTTTATTGGCGAAACGGTATAAAATATTTCAACCATTTATCGAAGATATAGAAGATAATAATAATATGACGAATAAGAATACAACTTTTTAAAAATGTCGGTTAATTTACAGAATATGTATTTAAAACTGTTTTTCGTTACCACAATAGCGGACACAATTTTGGTTGTTGTTGATGTAATGTTATTTTGAGCTGATGTTTTGGGTTTATTTCATTTGTTTTGGATGTATAAGGATACCGGTATTATGTTTATTTCCTTATAATTATTAATTGATAGATGTATGCGTGAATAAAATCAAAAAGAAGTATTCATAGTGTATTTAATGGAACCTAATTAAATTATTTTTTAATATTACACCTTTGCGGATTACTTTTTGGTTAGCAGCGAACTTGTTATAGGAACTTAGTCTGCGGTCAGGCTAGATACTGGTTGCTACGACAGCAGTCAGTATTTAACCTGAACGCAGTCATAATTACATCGTGGGATTGTCAAGAAACTATAATTGAAGAGACCTCACGCGAAAAATTTGTCACCCTTCAAATCGATGCCTCCAATGAACACTACTCGTAACTCAAAATTTTGAAATTTTCGATTTTCACGCAAATCGCTTCACTATTTTAAAAGTATTAAAAATTCATTATTGATGGGGCTCGAAGCAAGAGTGAATCAGCTAGTTACACAAGAAAAAACCATAAATACCTAGTCAGGTCATAAATTCTGTCACATGTTTAATGTAAAATAATTGAAACAAGTTTATTCATTATGTAACCATTCATATACCAAAATGAACTTAACAAAACATAGATTCTTATGACACTAAAGTTTATTCAAAATGACCTCCGTGATTTTGAATACAGGCCTTCAATCTGCGCGGCCAGTCGTCTATCGCAGCACGAACGAGGTCCATGTCAATATCGGCGGCTGCCTTAATCAAGGATGTCTTGAGTGACTCCAAATTGGGATGAGGCTTTGAGCACGCCTTTTCCTCCAAGTGTTGCCATATCTTGTAATCTAACGGATTCAAATCTGGACTGGAGTGTGTGACAATACTTATGACCTGACTAGTTAGTTATATCTGCAATAATAAAGATTTTACCAACTTTTTTCGTTTAAACTCTCCTCCTGTAAACCTACGAATTTTGAGTTAGAGTAGTGTTCATTGGAGGCATCGAAATGATTGTGCTGGTATTTCATATCTATCACAGTCGATATTTACCCTGAACGTAAAATTCAGGGTAAATATTGATTGCGTTAGGTATAGCGACGGTAATATAATGAGGAAACAACTTTAAGATCGATCAGCCAAGGAATTTGATCTTTAGAAACATCTACAGCCTGATGGGTAAGGCGCCTGGTATACTTGTATTTACTGATATGACTAGATCGCGACTCTTATGCCCAAGGTACTTTTATTTTAATGATTACATCGTTGTAATAACTCATATTCTGGATGAATAACATATGTATGTAACCCCAGGCATAGAATACAAAATGTATGCAACAATGACACTAAATTTGGTCAGGATTCTAACCCAAACTAAATGGAACATTGAGTGGTCGGTATAACTAACCGCTAAATTATTAGAAACTTTTATTACATCTTTTTACGTACTGTGTATATAAAATATAAATATATGGAATCTCCGAAAATGTAAGTCTATGTTTGTTCTTACGATAAACATTATACAAATAAGTAACTACTATAGGGGAATTGGTCTATATCTATCCTGACTAATTTACTTAATTAATTTCCTTAAAGTTACCTTTAAGATTTTCCTGCGTTGTAAATAGCCCACTTCTGTAAACGAAAATCGTTTCGAAATCAGACGTATTGCTTATAAAACAACACACCACCAATAAGGTAATGATCCTGAACCAAAATGGATACATGGGCGTGGTCAGGCTAGATACTGGCTGATGGTACTGCAGTCGTACCACAGTCTGTAGTTAATCTGAACGCAGTCGCTAAATCGTGGGATTGTAAAGATATATCATGATTCCTCAGTTTAAAATATCATTACCAGCCCGATCTGGATATATCGCTGTTCGGTGTTGTCACTTAAAGATTTTTGGATAAACTTAAAAATACATAAATTTACTAGTGGTAGGACCTCTTGTGAGTCCGTGCGGGTGGGTACCACCACCCTGCCTATTTCTACCGTGAAGCAGTAATGCGTTTCGGTTTGAAGGATGGGGCAGCCGTTGTAACTACACTTGAGACCTTAGAACTTATATCTCAAGGTGGGTCGCGCATTTAACTGTGGATGTCTATGGGCTCCAGTAACCGGTTAACACCAGGTGGGCTGTGAGCTCGTCCACCCATCTAAGCAATAAAAAAAACCTACCCCAGTCGATATTTATCCTGAACGTAAATTCAGGGTAAATATTGATTAAGGTAGGTATAGCAGCTGTAACGCGATGGGACCCGAACGTTTTCCCTTAAAATTTAACAATAAGAGGATTATCGATGGAAACTTCCGCTGCCTAATGTTTGAGAATCTGATCTGGTTTCCTCGAATCGTTTGATGAGACTAAGCCGGCGCTGAGGTAACTTTTTGGCAATGCATACATACTCAACACGTGCTCATAAATTAAATTTACCATAAATGAATGTGGTGTAATAAAAAAGGAGCCCGCAAGATTTATAAACTTCGTCATTTCTGGTATTTTACTTAATGTATTTAATATATAGCGTCATACTGAGTGTTAGGACGAGGTATATTGTTACCTGAATAATCGCAATGACAGTTTTATGTTAGACTGGTCGGTATGGGGTACGGCTTTGATAGTCTCTGACTGTAAAACTTACTTTCGCGATTTATGTTGGGTTTTGGACTGGGGTAGTTGAATTTTCTTAAATGTCGGCATATAAACTAGGTCAACATGATGAAATACGCTTAAACGGTTAAATCTATTTCACTGAACTCATGAATCTTTATGTTAATTGGTGGTATTAATGAGTCGTTTGGTACTTACTATGAACTCCTGTATCTTGATTGTATTAGCATGTGCATGAATGTGTGAACAAGTGACGCAACTGAGTAGTCTGGGGTTTGCTGCCTTAAATGATATCTCGCCCATCGAACGTTATTGGATACATGTCTGTGGTCACGCTAGGTACTGGCTAGTGGTATAGCAGTCATACCACAGTCAGTACCTAACCTGAAGGCAGTCGCTACATCTGTCAGTACAGAGAAGTTACTATAAAATTATTCCTAACTCATGAAAAACATCGTGTGTCCAAGCTGTTCTCAAGGCGATGCTGGTGGTGGAAAAAACCTACTCCAGTCGATATTTACCCTGAACGTAAATTCAGGGTATATATTGATTGAGGTAGGTACGACATCTGTAACATAGTAGAATCCTGAAGAACTAACCTAAAATTCAACAACTGAGAAGTGAATCGCAAGAGGAGTCGGTGACCGTACTGCATAAGGACTGCAGCATAGTTGCAACCGGGTCCTATATATGCATTGTAATTTTTAATTGTGGTGTTTATTGTGCAATATGAAAATTCTTCACTCAAGAAAGTCATCATGAGCTCAAATTGGATACAATGGCTGTGGTCACGCTAGGTACTGGCTTGTGGTATAGCAGTCATACCACAGTCAGTACCTAATGTGAAGGCAATCGCTACATCACTGCGTTGTGAAAATATTAATAAAGGTTCCTCACTCCAGAAACCCATCGTCCGTCTGAACTGTAATCACCTTGATGTTGATGATATCGAAATCTATCACAGTCCATATTTACCCTGAACGTAAATTCAGGGTAAATATTGATCGAGGTAGATATAGCAACTGTATGATCCTGAAGAACTTCCGTAGGATTAAATAATTCAGAAGGATGTCTCAAGATAATGAATAAAATCCCGTGTACTATTTATGGACCGTACGACTACAAATTTTGAGACAGTCACAATTTTGTTCTAAATAAATAGGTACTTTATAAACCTTGACGAATGACATCGACGATGAATGATAATTTATACTCGTAGTGGAACAAAATAAAATCAGCAGAGATATTATTTCTTTTTCTAATTGTGTTTATGGTTAACTCTAAGTTCACTTGACAAAGAACTTATCAATTCTAAGTTGTAATAAAAAAGTGTTTGACAATTCTTTACTTAAGAAACTCTTCATCGGCCTTAATTGGATACAATGGCTGCGGTCACGCTAGGTACTGGCTTGTGGTATAGCAGTCATACCACACTCAGTACCTAATGTGAAGGCAGTCTCACACTGGGAACCCATCGTCCGTCTGAACTGTAATCACCTTGATGATGATGATATCGAAATCTATCACAGTCCATATTTACCCTGAACGTAAATTCAGGGTAAATATTGATTGAGGTAGATATAACAACTGTATGATCCTGAAGAACTTCCGTAGGATTAAATAATTCAGAAGG